TAAATTTTTTTTTCAAAGTCCCTCTGCATTTGGATTTGAACACACAACCTTCAGATAGACAGGCAAATGTCTAGCCAATACACCATGGTAGTTACTGGGCACATAATGTGTTAAATATCATACCAGCTGACTACTTTCCGGAACATTTCCTGGTGCCTATTTTAGGCTGACCTTACCTGGAGTCAAAATTAGGCTTTTTGTTAAACCATGTCTCAATGAGATACAACAAACCAGCAAGCAAGTAAATATATTATTTAAAAAACTTCTAAATCAATATAGAAGAAACATTCAGATTAAAAAAAAAAAGTATTAATAATACAAGCTTGTTTCATTTCTGGTCATATTCCTTAATAAATAATAGCAAGAAGCTGCTGTGACTAGCATGCCTAGTGGCCCATCAGTCTTATATTAATCTTTTTGTCTCGTTACAATCTTAAAACGTGACCTCTTTTCCAAATTTCTTCTTTTTCTTCTTCTTTTTTTTTTAATTGCATCCTTTTAATTTGTTGAGTTTTGGCAAGTTTTGATAATAAAAGTCCAGGTGGTGGAATCTCTAGACCAGTTAGCAGACAGGAGAACATAAAGGCCACTGCTTCAATTTTGGCTGACAAATAAGTTTTAAAAAAATTTTTCCTTTTTTTTTTCAGTCATCAGAAATGCCAGAAATTAAATCTGTCATATGAAGGTGAATAATCCTTAAATACAAATTAAGGAATGAATCAAATGCTTCCTTTCCTTGCACCTCTTGGAATGCGCACATAAGCTGCCTGCAGCATTGCTTTGTTTAGACTTCCACTAGTGTTTTCATTTTGCCATGTCATGTTTTTATGTTTTTACAGTACTTGTCTGTGAGCAAGGCAAATTTATCCCAGTCAGCGAGACAATGGTTTTTGCTCCTGTAAGATATAATTCACAAAGACAGCAAGTGAAATGGTTTGCCCACTTAGAGAGAATGCCTTGTGACACCATACCATACAAAGCATACATGGGAAGAGAAGAAGGACGTAGAGCACAGGGTAGACCAAGAACAAGATGGAAGGATAACATCAGAGAAACTCTACAACAGCACGATGTGCCTATGGTCGAGGCAGCCAGAAGAGCTAGAAACAGAACCTTATATCTCCCTCGACACCCACAGCGGTGAAAGAGGAAGTGAAGAAGAAGAAGAAGAAGATATAATTCATATTTACAAGTTTTCCTGGTTTGTGGTCACCGCCTGCTAACTAATCTAGTACATTGCGATCAATTTTGTGGAGAATGTCTTCTGTGCAGAAGACTGAGTGAGGAGTGGAAGTATTACACAATCTGCTAAAATAAATTTGTAATCATGAATTTTACAGGGTGTCTCAAAAAATGTACATATCTTATTATAGCCCACAGCTGAAGAAATATTTCTCATCAGTGTGTAGACTACAGCAGTGGCCGGTTTGAACGCAGGCAACAGACCAATTTATACATGTCGCTTTTAAAAAAAAAAGATATATCTTGATTTATCTGAATTCCAAACATGCAATAATATTGAACATTCAAAGTGTATACATTTGAAACATCTTAAATTCATCTTATTACAGACAGACTAAAGACTTTACTTTAAAGACTTTTCACAATAAATGTCCATGGACATCATATGAATAGTCTGGCCAAACAAGATTACAAATGAAAAACTGAGGAGGTGAAAAAATGTCCATTATTGACAACTATCTGCAGGATGGCAGATGGAAAAAGGAGACATGGACAACTATAGGAAACCTAGAGAAGCACAGTATAATGGGAAATTAAGAAATGTAAAATGTCATGGGATACTATAGAAAAGAAAAAAAACAGCAAAGATCATTTGTGAATGCCTTATGTGTTAGTGACATGAATATGAAGTAAAGACATAGATATTTAGCTTTAAAAAAACCTTTTATAATTCCTCTCTTGTAGAGATCTTCTTGTGTAGGTCGACGAGAGATAAGGTTATACAGTTTGGCTCTAATCCCAACCAAATTTTTATTCTTGTCGATACTATGAAGACTGGAGCTGTCATCAGCTGATACTCTTCTGACCATTCCTAACAAAATGAAACAACAGGTTTCCATTAGCAGCAAGTTTATTTCAAATGTATCAAATTCTTCTTTCTTAAACCATGCTGTGTTGCTGATCAAGATGTATATCAACAGCTTCTCACTCACCATCAACAATTTTTCTTTTCTTGTGTCAAACTAACATCTCCAGTCTTCAACATCTTTCACTGCTTTCTTCCTCGTGAAATTTCCTGTTGCCACAATTTTTTGCTTACATGTCTACAAAATATATACTGCTTAACTCTAATGCAAATAATTAAACACATTAATATGAAGGATTAAATAATTATTTCTCTTTATAATACTAACAAAACATAAAAATCCACTCCTTCTGTCTTAATTTTATAGGGTATTAAGCCAATCTGTGTTTTTCAAACCCATAAGTTTCCTTCTATTATAGTTTTCTGAGCCTAGAAAGTTCCTTCCATTTCCTTTTTTTTTTCCTGAACCCACAAGTTTCCTTTTATCTCAGTGCTTTTTTGCTGTTGTGTTTTTTTTCTTTCTGAGCCCACAAATTGTCTTTTGGTGGAGTTTCCTTGAGCCTGCAAAGTGTTCTTCTATTTCAGTTTTCTGAGCCCATAAGGTTCTTTTTTTTTTATACCCCACTAGGACATCACACAAGTGATAAACACCCGATAACACATAGTGCCACCATGTGGATGAGGATCACCCGTGGAGGTCCCAGAAACCGCGTTCAGCAATTAGACCATATTTATGGTCAGGCTATATTGCGGTTGCTGGGAAGAGCCAGAGTAGGGCTTCAAGTAATGAAAAATTGCATCCCACAAAGGGAAGACTAGATGAACATAAGGTACTTTCTGACTCAATCTGAATACAAAAACATTATTAACAAAAAATCTGCACACGAAACAAAGAATGTCTTCACAATTAAATTTGTTTAGGAAAAAAAAAACTTCTATTTGCCTTTTTCAGTTTTTCTGTCATCCTTCTGCACATCCTGACTGTCAAAACCTCTAGGACTAGACTCTATCTGTGAATAAGTAGTAAGAAATATATATGCAATTTAGAACAACAAAATCAGTCAACATTCTAATCATAATTATACTACAGATATTTAAAGCACCACAGCGATCTGACCCCAGTGGTTGGTTTTCAGATCTTTTTTTTTTTAAATGAACAAAGCATAATGTCATTGTTTTAGTGCACAAAGCAGAATGTCATGTTTTAGTGCACAATTCATTATGTCATGTTTTAGTGCACAATTCATTATGTCATGTTTTAGTGCACAATTCATTATTTCATGTTTTAGTGCACAAAGCATAATGTCATGTTTTAGTGCACAATGCACAATGTCATGTTTTAGTGCACAATGCATAATGTCATGTTTTAGTGCACACAGCATATCATGTTTTAGTGCACAAAGCACAATGTCATGTT